AATCAGTGTTGCGGCATCGTTTTAATCTGAACTCAGTATAGATTTCACCCAATATTAGTATTCATTATTCATTATCTAAATGAATACATTTTTGGATTCACTAATACCCATTTTTTTCGTGGATCTATCACTTTCGCAACTCTGGTAGAAATAGGTATAAATTAATTGGTAGTTCTGGTGCCAAAGATGATATACAGACACTTTACATTAACTTAGAGCTGTGAAAAAACTTTCATTAAAAAAAAAAAGACTAGTACAAAAGTCTGATTTGAAACAAACCCCCCTTTATCTTAATATATCCTTCTCCAAGGTTAATTACCGGACCTACATCGGTAGGACATTTGTTTATTCTAAATAATAAAAAAATAGTTTTTTTCGACATTTTGTTGTTAAGAACTTTGTTACAAATTTTTTCTTATCTATGCTTGGACAACTAAAAACGATAAAAAATTTATGTAAACTTTTTTTCGATATCTTTTATAGTTCACAAGTTACAAGCGAATAAGCAAAAAAGAACGCTTCGGACAAAAATGGTGGTTTTTCCCTTAACCCTTTAAGTGTATTATTTCACTTTGAAAACGTGCATTGTGTACTTAATTACTTTTAAGCTATGACGAGTATACTCGACATAAACATCGAAGGGGTCAAAATCTACAAGTTAGCACCAACCAAGTACGACATAATTCTCAGATTGGTCCCAGAAACAACCGAGCGAAGGTTACAAAAAAATCAGCATGTATCGCTTCGCGATACATCCCCCAGTTAGCTCAGTTTAATGTAAATTTTTCATCGTCGGAGTCAAACAAACGTACGAGCTACGAAAATTTCGATTCTGGGCCAATGCGTGTTTTCATGATTCTTGTATCAGCGCGCGGAGCAATGATGAGGCGCGCGATTGGTTACGAATTATCCATTACTCGATACGGAACGGGGGCCCCGGGAGGGGGATACAAGGTGGGGGAGGGGGAGGGGGCCCAGTGGAGGACACAGAGTGGCGAGGGGCCTCAGGGGCGAGGAGAGTGCATTTGCATCGGAATGCAAGCCCCGGGCCGAGCCAGTGCTGTGCGCTTGCGAGCCGCGCGTGCATGTACCCCTTCCCCCCATCCATCCTCCTCTTCCTCCTGTTTGTAATGTAACCTACGCGTGAAACTTCCAAGGAAAGAAGCTAACACACGCGTTTCCTTGCGGCGAGCTATCTCGAGGCAGCCCCCATGTGTCTCTTCGACAATGAATTAAAGGGTGTATCCCCTCCCCCCCTATTTGGAGGGATCAAACAGATTCATTTTGTTTTATTGCATTTTCTTAAAGTATAAGATTTCAAAAATGTGCCCTATCTGAAACGGTTACGCCTGAATTCTATGAAGTGATAAAGGTTATAACGTTTTCAAGAAAGCAACAGTGCGTACCGCTGGAAAAGCCAAAGTATCTACCATTTTTTAGTCGGTTGTAGAAGTTATTAACTAAAACTCATTTGTCTTAAGTGGAGAACGTATAACGATCACAAACATTTCGAGAATACATGTTTGTTCATAATGAATGCATGGTCACCTTGAGTTTTTTTAAACGGAACCGGACAATTTCGTTCTATTATATTGTTGGGAACATCGAGACAAAGTCTACCAGCACGAAATATGACAGTTTCATTCACTTAATATTAAATTTACAGCGGTGGAAGCAGCGTAGAACGAAAAGAAGCACAGAGTCGAAGCGTGCGCTACGTTTCTACCGATTCGCCGAGCTATCGTACGTTTTCCTCGTTCACTGTTGTAAATTTAGTATTCCATGAATAAAAGTGTCATATTTTGTACCGGTTGAATTCGTCTCTGTGTCCCCTATAATATAATGGGAACAAAATTAAACGGTTATAAAAAGATAGTGTTTTTAGAGTTACCTGTATGAATTCCCTAAGTGTTCCATTTTAGGTACCATTTTCTTCGAATTGCCGATTCTGACAAGTTTTTTTTTTTTTTTTTTCATTTTTTCTACCATAACTTCAACAAATTTAAACTTTTACACATTTAATTATTTATTGTACATACGACTATCTATTAACTGTAGATTGCTAACCTATTGTAAAAATTACAACCTTGAATTCGCGATTCTCAGAAATCGGCACGTTGCCGTCAATGCTGAATAATTACTGTCACAGATTGTTCATTATTTGCAAGTCTGGCTAGCATACATACACATAACTCGACTGTGGATGTTTATGCATTTATAGCATCTCTTAACTTGGAAAATGTAATAAAATAAAAATGTTAATGAAATTTAACGCTATCTATGTCTTACTACTAACGTAGTAAAGAATCTGGTACAGAATTCGAAATTCTACTTCATGTTAATTTTTAGGGTATTAGTACCCGAAATTGTAAATTTGCATAAACGTCCACGGTCTACTTATAACGTAGCTTTCGATCTAAATAAAAATATTTTTCTAAAACACTATGTGTTCTCTTTCAGTCGAAATTTCCACGAATGATTAGTAATAACGTAAGTCACCGGATAGTTTACCAATCGTGTATTAATTTTCTAGTGTTTTTCATTAAAATAAAAACCCCAATTTTTCTATTTTCAGAAAACTTTTAAAATCGGATGTTCCATATTACCGTGCGGTTACCATAAGCTGTTGCCTGAATTTCAGGCGCGTATTGCGTGTGGCCCTCGATTGAAAGAAAACGAGAAAAAATAGAAATATCGCGGAGCTTTCTTAAAAACGCGTATAAAACCGTACGGTTGTTTAGTCTGCGAGGCAATTACTTGGGGCCCGCCCCCGCGGAATACACACGCCGTTGCGCGCCGTTCCCGCGGCAGCTGTCGTCGTCGATGAGTCTATCTCTCTCTCTCTCTCTTTCCCCGGACAATTTCAAAACTAGAATCGAGTAACGAGCCAATCTCGAAAATCGCCGATGACATCACGCCGGTGCTATTTCGACCGAAATAAATATACCGTACATCGACATTCTCCCACCTCCCCCTACTTTCCTACATTCTTCCGTGCGCGCGAGCAGCCTGGACCATCGACTTCCGTCCGTGATCATCGGTCCACTGAGGTTCGTTAGAAACATTATCCTCGTAAATGGTTTTTCTTTTTAATTTTATCCCACGACTGGCTATTGACTCTCTTCTTTTTGATCGTGCAGGTAACATCTCGATTCGAGAAATTCATGATTCCCTCGGTAAAAGAGCCTCGAGCTTTCGGGAACAAGATGTACACCACTGACAAGAGAAGAACCTCAACAGTCCTGACTTCGATTGTAACGGGGTTTTCTAGGGCGATAATATATAGGCTCTTAATGATTTCTGTGAAATATTAGGTGTAAATATTCGAGAATTTTAAAGATTTAAACTATTAACCCTCCATGACCCCCGTTATTTTTACTGCTTCAGATTCCCTCCCTCCTGGATCTTTTATGCCCAGAAAATTCAGAGATACTTCCCAGGGTCTCTATTACATGATCCAATAGTTTTTAATGTTGAATGTTAAAAGGTTTTTTCTAATAACAATCCCTTTGTATCGTAAACATTTAAGCGCGCAATTTCGCCTCTGTCATGAAAGATCTATAAATGAAACCAATCGAAATTGCGTTGATAAAGTGACGTGGTTGTTTGATTAATATAACGTTAGAACTATGAACAATATTATGATAAATATAATATCACTGTTGAAAGCTGGAAGGATGAAAATCATCTAGCTGTTTGAAGATAGGAAATGGCAGTAAGAATAGAATCGCGAAGACTGTCTGAAACTTCATAGTAACAAACGAACAGTATCCTATGGTCTCGAGTATAATACCAGAATACTCATAAAAAATCCCTTTTTTAAGTGGCACAGAAGTCGTTAAAATTTCATTAAATGGAATTCTATGATTTCTCACGACCGTGAGCTAGCGATTGAAATCAATGAAAATTCAAGGACGTTAATTATTACATTCAAAAATATATTTAGTTGTTGCGTAATAAATGATTTTAAAACGAAGATTTTTCAATCGAATACGATCCCATTAAATCGACCAATTTCCCATCCATCTATCCCACATTTGATTTTTTTAAGATGTCTGAAACGAAGTACTTTGAAAAAATGTAATTTACTAAAAAGTAAAGTGTGAAAAGATTAGATTACGTCCGATAATTTTATTTCCCTTTGCATAAAACCGGCCAACAAATTCCCCGTTCACCGAGGGTAATGGCACCGAGAGTCGTGTGTGTCTGGCGTGATTCACGATCAGAGACGCGGCCTTGAACCACCAATTGAGTTTGATTCGACCGTAGTTAACACGGTGTTAATCGCCGTTCCGGCGACAAAGATGAAGACGAGTGTATGCGAGGGAGCGCGCCGAGTGGCCGGAAGTAACATCGCTTCTCACGAAATAGCTTCCTGTCGAAAGTTCCCATCGTTCCCCACTCGAAAATTCATCAGTCCCTCGGCGTGACTGGTTCCAATCCCGACCGACGGGTTCATTCGACGAGAAACATTAATATACGTGCAACTAATACCATAAGAAACAAAATATTATTCTCTTTGTTTCGCTTGATTGCCAGTGAAAATGTTGAGATTCGTTTGTAAAAATCACCCAAGAGAATTACAGCTAACTAATTCCTCGGCGTTTCCTGACATCTAACAAGTTCCTACCTACATGTCGAATATTTGTGCACGATTTAATGTTCAGAAAAACAGATTCTTGGTACAAATAAAATAACGTGGTTGAAAAACAGAACACCGATAATCGATTATCCTGTCGATATTTGTAGTGTCAATTACAATCACTTCAACGACTTCCTAAGTAACACTTAGGAAAGCGAGACTTGATTCAAATGAGAATCACGTGGTTCGAAAGTGGCGCCATCTGTGCCACAGCGAACCGATTCGAAATATTTTGGCGCGTATATTTCTCAACGTCGCGAGGTTATCTTCGGTTGTTTATAGGCAGAAACCGAATTCACTACTAACGTTTCTCTATAAAAATAAGGAATATAAGTGAAAAGTGTTCAAAAAAACTTACCTCGAGTACGTCCTGTGCGGTCTGCAGATACTCTCGGAGCATGGCCTCTTGAATGGCGCGCCATTCTTGTCTTGGATCTTCGAGCTGCGTCGTCTCTGAAACAATCGATCGAGAGGAAATGATATTTTCTGCGTTTGGAACTCAGATTATATGGGAAACCTTTGTAGTACTGAATCGATCGCACAACCGCACGTGAAAAGTGTTACAAGTCGAAAATTATCAACCTTCATTTCACAGAAGGAAAATATCTTCTAATACGATATTTTCGACCTAGTGACATGTTTCTCGTGAAGCTGCGTTTTTACGCAACATTTGAAATCGACATTACTCGGTGGATTGTTACTTAACAGGTAGACTAGTTAAACTAATTAAACTGATGGTTTATACATACGATTGTCTACGGACTCATTCTATATTCACTCACTATGCTGTTGCCCATATATATTTCTTGTTTTAAAGTTTACTAGACCTCCGATTTTTATGCCAATTTAAATTTTCATAGCTCTATCCACTGAATTAAAATTATGTCAGAGATCTGTTTCCTGTGTTAAAGGTTTGTTTAAGGAACACTTACATTAATTTTCACGAACATTTTTACTGTACCGTGGTTTGCACTATTTACGATAAATGCATAAAATCCGCGATCTAGTTATCGTACAAGGGACAGTTAATAAAAATCGCGGAATAAAGATGAAAATATAGGCGTAAAATATGATTTTCATATTGCCTCGAGTAAATACCAACTGAATAAGCTATAAGGAAGTGGACAAAGCAGACTCGAAGGGTTAAATGGCGGAATATTATTAACAGAGAACAAGAGGGACATGAAGATTAAGATTTTTCCCGCGTGTACAGTTACGACTTATAGTAGCAAGTAAAAAAAGAAAATGATACGCACGATTGACATGATTAATGTAGTATGCACCCACATGCTTGTCATAAGCTTCCTCCCATCCAAGTGGAAGCTCGTTCCCGATGCAGTCTGCGAACGTTTGAGGTTTCGTAAACCTGTAAGATGAAAAATAAAATAATCATTTTAAAATGGTCGCCACAGATTTATAGAAATTTGTTTAATAAAAGGTAATTCAATCGTTTTACTTAAAAATTAAATTAAACATAAGGGTAATTTTATATAAATGAATTTTCTCTTCAACTATGAGTCGTACAAAAAACGTGTGTAAAATAGAGATTTGCATGGAATTTTGCTAAAAAAAATGATACGTCTAACATCGCATGCAATGTCACGTAAGAAGTCTTAATGAACTGTACGAAAAATCGAATAAGCTTCTACTATTTATTAAAAGATTTAAAGAAATTGGTCACACATAAATATCAATTTAATGCAATGTACAATACTAATACTACAAATACTTTATAATATTTGTCTCCAACTATAAGACGCATTTAATATTCCAAATAATAATAGTATTAACTGTAATAATGATAGTACGAATAATCAAAAAAATTTATTCGACCTAATTCGATCATATTTTTATGTCATACAGAAACATACACGCGTATGCATAACAATTGGAACTGTATCTTGCATACAAAATAACCTGACCTCTGGAGGCCAACAGCTAACTAAAGTTTATCGTGGTGAAAGTGAAACGGAATCGGTGGCCGGCGCAGAAGAATGCGAATACCAACGAACATACTGTATAAAGAAGAATATCAATCCCCTAGTTCCCTTAATTGCTTTATGCAATTCTTTCTAGTTTCACCAAGTTTTCCTTATTTTCAAATCGAAACATTTGAACAGAAAGAGAAATTATTATAATAATCTGTTATTAATAATTTTAAAAATATTTTGCTTCTTTTAATTCAGGTTCTTTATTTAATAAAATAGTAACATGCAATTTTGAATTATTTTTATGTATATCATTATATTGTCCATTACGAAATAATAAAAGGACCTCAGAGAGTCCTCTATCCGAATGAAGGTTAAGGATGAACATCCAAAGAGAACATTTTCAGCAGATTTTGCTGTTTTATTTCAAGTAAAAGGGAAAAAACGTGGCGCAACCCCGTAAAAAAGTTGGGCAAGGTGTACAGATAGGAATGCCACCGAGAAACGCGTGCTGCCAGAAGAGTGGCTCGTGAAATTTCGTTCCGGGGATTTTTCGGTGCAAGCTCTGGCCGGTCACTGGAGATATTCACAACGACCAAGTGAACTATGTTTAACCTTTTGGATAGTTCTTTATTCTAAAATAATTTTGCATATCGAACAGATTTAATTTAATATTTTTTCTGTTGCAACTGATTCAAACTACTTCGAAATGGACAAAAATGTACCTGTTAAATATTGTCTCAACTCGAATGACGAGTTAGACTCGTCATCTTGCATTTAGGCAAAACAAGTGCATGATAAATCTCAATCGTCAAATGTACCCAAGGGATTAATCGATAATAATCCTCGTTACAGAACGAAATTTTCTCCAAGTATCGAAATCAAGGGTAGAAAACCGTTTACACCAACTAGGACATATATCGCGGTCGGCTTAAAAAGCGCGGGAATGTTTTAGTCAATCCAATACTTGTTGGTATCATACTCATCGAAATAAAAGAAGAGAGCAATCTAACAAACCACCAATTTCTCAAAACGATCGAAACCCATTTGATTCCTTTTTTCCCCTTTCTACCGCACGTGAGATTCACGAATTCTAATCTAAAAAGTCAATGGCTGGGTGGATCGTGACCCATAAAAAATCTCACAGAGGACACACAACCAAGACGATTCGTCATCGTGCAAACAGTTCATCGGTGACCGTGATATATTCGTCGACGGGTCGCCGATGACCCAGACGTAGGAAGACGCAAGGGTTAACGTGCCCTTGGCCTTACCACACGCTGTAGTCCTACAATACCAAGGTGGAAGCAGAAGAAGGAGGGTCAAGAACGCACATCATGACGGAGGCATATAACGCGGACAGGAGAGTGAAGGGGCCCAGGAGAAAAAGCACGGGGGAGGAGGAGGTGGAGAAACGAGGAAGGAAAAGGGGAAGGGAGTCCAGGTTAGGTCTTGATTAGGAGAGTCAGCCAAGGGACAAATCGAACACACACGCGCGCGCAAATTTCGATGTGACTATGAGTCACGCCAAGATTGAATGGACTTTTAAGGGGGTTTATTCTGCCATCCTTATAACAATTGTTCTAATCTGTATTTTAAAATATTCGAGAAAACGTGGTTTTGTTCATTTCTTTGTGCTGTCCTGGTTTTTTATCATAAGGCATTTTAATATAAGAAACGGTTTAAATCGAACTTATTTTATTTTTTTTACACACAAAACTTGAATCACTAAGGCATAAACAAGTTAAGCACAGTACTCATCATCATCATTTTTATATATTAGAAATTGTTAATGATTCCTAAAAGGCAAATTGATTTGAGCATGATTAGCTTTAATTTTATAATTACATTTTCTTTTCAATTTTCAATTTCAAGTGATCACTTAGGACTACATACCTAACTTAGTAGATGTTACGTAGGACAATATAAACTAATAAAATCATCTGAAGAGCAGTTAACTATTAGATTCTGATGATGAAATCACATATGAAAATGACAGACCACGTAAATAGTAACGATGCGGAATTTATATTGCAAGACAACGTGTCAGAGTTAAAAGATGGATAATATGGAAAAGTACTCAATAAAATGTTCACTATAGATCTCAGTGTTGTTTGAAATATTTTGAGTACCTTTAGAAATCTGAATTTCCAAAAAATCCATGGTGGCCCTAGTGACCCACCCCCTCCAGTATTGAGTAATTCTTTATGTAATGTTTCATGCGATAAACACGTTAAATATGACTGTAGTGCCTTTGCTATGGCCTTGCAACCCTTCGACTACGATTAGATACAACAACACTAATCGTAGGCTGAACTCTAAGAACATTTTTCGTGTACTTAAACAAAAACATATGTGTGGCGAATGTACTGTTACGTTTACAGAAACAAATTTTTTCACAGCAAAATAAATATCTCCAAACCAATCACCTTTTTTTCTACTATTTTTTTTTAATCTAATTATGATTAAAAGAAAGGTGTAACTGGACAACCTTGTACAGAAGGAATTTTATGCTTCACGCCAACGCGAGAATTTTAAAGACTCCATTAAACAACTTTTCATTCCCACACACACTTTTCTCCATTCATGAAAAAATAACTGACGTATTCCTCTTGTTACGCTGAGAATTTTAAAACAAAAGAAAGTCAGATAAAGGTGGACGAGCGTGTGTTGTTGGTCACGCGATGGATCCATTACGTCAATTATACCGATATATTTCATTGAATATCATTCACTCCGTCGTCCGTTCGTTCATTCATTCGTTCTGAAGCGTACGGCAATAAAATATCATTATCCCGAACGGATCAAGAGAATTCCCGACGCTGTATTATACAACACGGTCTTCCGTGAACAGAAAAAAAAGGAGAAAATATTTCAAGAAAGACCGAACACAGTTTTCGTGCGCCGGCATACCAACGAGCCGAGATTGCAGAAATTGAAAACGTACACTCTAGCACATATTGTTTAACATTCTTCGGATGCCGACGTGAAAACTGTCGTCTCTCTTTTCTGAACGTACATTTTTTCTCTGTCTCTCTGTTTGTGGTTGATGATAGTGTCATAAGAGATACAAATAATTTCAGATCACGCGAACAAATGAATAAATTATTAAGAATCAACGAGTGAAACTAAAAAGAGCTAATTTTGTACGATGAGATAACATTTTAAAGTATTATTCATTTTTACTAATTACAATCAACCGTGTGTAATCTACAGATGAGTGTAACATGAACAGACTGTACATTTTTATACGGAAATTTTGAAAAAACCGCAGATACAATGAAATTGATTTTTTGTTCTAATAATTTTTATACATATATGAAAATATACAAGGTGATCCTAGTAACTGGACCGAGCTATATGTAGCTCTATTTCAAATGAAGTTTAAAAAAAATTGTAGAGGAAACTTTTGCATTGTTTAACAAGCTCTATCATTCGACTGTATTATTTTTTTCACGTCTGCATCGGTGCACTTGCAAACTGCAATTGCACTTTTTTTTAAATGGAATACTACGATCTTTTCACAGAAATTGATTCCTTCTGTCATTCTCCGTATACAAAACGTAGGATAAGGTAATTGAAAACACGATACTTTACGAAATAGAAACTATTAACAACTAAAGAATCCTGCTTTGTAGCTACTGTAATCATTAAATGGCATGTAATTACATACCAAAATATTTGTTCTTAGATGTATGCAAAAGTAACTGCGGACGAAGAATTCAAATTATGTTAGGAATGCACAATTATTCAACATTAACCCTTTCATTTCCGAATTACTTAAAAATTACCAAATAAATATTTGATTATAGTTTCGTGTATATTACATAACATATTAATGATTGATAAGAACATTTTAACATCTTGAAACCGTCTAATGCCATTTCTTTATTCGTTGTCATTTGATAACTGTTTTACTTTTATCACAGTTATATGAAATAATTTCCATTGCAATTGTATATATAAGAAAACCAAATTTTTGTGATCTTCGATCAATAAACCAATATAGAAAAAATTTATAAGTAGAATAAGATTTTATCATTCTCGGCTCAGTTTTAGAGAAAATCGACTTTGAATATCTGCTGGATTCGCGCGCAATTGAATAAGACTTTGCCAGGACGTCGGGTCATTATATTCCGTTTCTACTTACTACTATGTGACAAATACACTTCGAAAACTCAGCCGAGAATGACAAAATTTTATTCTACATTTTTTTCTTATTTTTTCATAAGCAATCACGTGGTGCCCGCTTCTGCATATTATTCGACCGGACCCTGTATACGTGTAATGTTCCATTTTCTCTGTTTCAGATAAAAGCTGACAAAGATATGTATATCTGGTACCGCAGATGGTGTTTTGATGAAACGGGTTATAATTACTAAGCAAATAACATACAATAAGATGTACATGTTGAATTCTTAATAAACAATAATTCTGC